CCCAGGCGTGTGTGTTCATGATGAGCACACACACACACACCCTCTCGGACCCCCCCCCCTGGACGCCCCGGTGTCAGGCTGTCAGAGGTGGGGCAGGGTCGGCTTCGCGCGTAAGAGTGGCCCTCCGCCGGAAGGACCTCTCGGCGTGGGCCCATGAGGCCCCCCCCCGATCGCCGAGCGCGCTGCGGTAGTGGCGTCCCGCGCACGCTCGTATTTGATCCCCTTGCGTCTAGGCCTCTTCGATGGGGTCGGAGTAGATGGGGTCGGAGGATCGCGCCGCATCAGCGATGCGGCTCGATGTGGGGCCCAATTTTCTCCACGCCGACGTCGCCGATGCATCGCCGACGTTGCCAGTGCATGGCCGATGCATCGCCGATGCATCGGCGATGTATCGCCGATGTATCGGACATGCGGCGAGATCCTCCGACCCCATCTATTCGGACCCCATCTAGGGGGCCTCTATTGCGGCCCCCAAGAAGCGCGCGCCAAGGGTCACTCTGACGGTCAGCCTGCATAGCAAGGATTGGCGATTTTCCTAAGGCAACCCCTGCATCCTTGCCTCCTCGGTCCAGCCTTTGCCAGTTTCGCTGGCCGCGCCCCGCCCGCAAAGCTTCGAAGCGGCCTTCCGAGGTCCCTGCATCCTTCCCGTGCGTCCTGATGATACGGGTCGACTGTACCCAGGGTCACTGTTGCGTGTAGCCGACAGGAGCCGCGAAGCAGACACGGCCGGGCAGCATCTCGACGGTTGTCGGCTGCTGGGGCCCTCGCCAGGTCGTGGGGCGTTGTGGCAATGCTGCGCCCGGGAGCTCGGGTTCGCCGGCGCTCCTTGACGAGAGCCCGTGCTGGGTGTTGACGGTCTGGCTTTCGTGGGATGTCTTCATCGAAGAAGGAAGAAGGCCATCGTTGGGCCCCCCTGGCGGCGCCTCAGGCGCAGCCCCTGGCGCGCTCCGCGTTCCAGGGATGGGGCTCCAGCGTGGACCCGAGAAGTCCGCGCGGAGCGCCAAACAATTCATGTTTGTGCCGTTTGTTCTTCTTCCATTGCAGCGGGAGCTCGCGTCGAGTTTCAGATCGGGCCGCGCCATGTCCATGATGGCCCCGTCGGGCCAGGCCGGGCCCCCCGAGCCCGAGTCTTGCAGCTCCCCAGAGCCTGGCGCGGCGATCCGATTTCGATCCGATACGGGACGATTCGTCAGCGATCCGACCCGTTTCGGATCCGATTCGATCTCTCGACTCGGTCCAGCTCCAGGATGGCCCCGTCGGGCCAAGCCGAGTCCCCCGAGGCGATCGCAAACATGGATCAAGGGGGCATGGATTAGCGACGGGCCCCGTTTCCCATTGGGAATCCAAGATTTCCGCCGCCGAGCGACTCGGCACCGGCCGCATTTTGGGGAGGGCACCTCCCCCGATCCATGGATCGCTGATCCGTGTTCGCGCGCCCCCGAGAAGGGTGCTCTTGTGCCCCCCGGGTCCAGCTGTGAGCCAGATCGGTCGAGGATCGGCCAGCACTCGATTCCCCGAAGATCCCCAGCCACGCGCAGAGGGGGGTGGGGAGAGAGGGGAGGGTTTCTTTGAAGCACCCCTGCTTCTTGAAAGGCGCGGGCCTTATCTATAGATGTACGGCCGGCGCCTTCTAAGAAGCAGCCTCCTAAGAAGCCCTCCCCCCTCCCCCCACCCCCCTGTGCGCGCCGCCAAGATCCCCGATCGGCCGGAGGACCGATGCAGCGATCGATCGGCAGGCGGGGGTTCCATGCCGCGGGCCGGTGCCTCTCTCTCCGGCAGGCCGCCGCACAAGTGGCCCTCCCTCCCACCGCTTTCTTCCTCCTCCCTCATCCTGCCCCTTTTTCTGAGGCATGCCGCGGGAGCGAGCGCACGAGGCGTCAGGGGCACCTGCAACAGCAGGCGGTCAAGGCAGGCGCCTCGGGCACGGCGTAAAAGACCTTGAAATGAGGTAGCCGTGCCCGAGACAGAAACAGTGACAGTCAAGCAAGTCGAGGCGCTCGACCAAGCCTTGATTGTGAGAACCTCACGAAACTCATCCTGCTCCTCCTCCTCCTCCTCCTCCTCCTCCTCCTCCTCATCCCCTCCCAGGCTGCCCCTGATTCTATGCTCGAGGGTACGGACCCCAGGACAAGTTCATTCACTTGTGATGGTGCAGTTCGGGATCGTCATGGCGGCTGGGGCCCCCCAGGCAGGGACACGACGATCCCGCTTTCGTTCCCGAGTCTGAGAGACGGGAGGGTTGCATCGTGATTCTGCGCCTAGTTCAGAGCGTTGGCGGGAGACTGGCGCGCCTCTAGGCCTTGAACCCTTGAACCCTCCTCCACCCCTCCTCCTCCTCCTCCTCCTCCTCCTCCTTCTCCTTCTCCTCCTCCTTCTCCTTCTCCCCCTCCTCCTCCTCCTTCTCCTCCTCCTATGGACTTTTCAAAGCTCCCGAAGTCTTTGATGGCAACAACAAGGATGAAACACCAGAAGAACACCGGATGATCTCTTCACACCGCTGGCGCGCTCGACTCAAAGGGCCCTACAAGTTTTTGGCCAAAGCGTAACAGTACGCTCGCTATGCTACAGTCGTGCTCTGCACAATACACAAGATGTACAGCGTATATCTCGCACCCGTGAAAGAGTAAAACAGTAGAACAGAGAGAAGCCCTACCTTCAATATGAAATATGACAGTCGAAACTCCACAAGTAAACATCTTAAACATGGTCTGCACAACTTGGCAAAGACTGCATAAGCAAACGGGCATAAACAAACAGCAAAACATGGAATGCAAACTTGCACCTTGAAGCTAAATCCGAAATGCACAACTGCATAGGTATGACATGCAAGCCTGCGTTTGCAAACTGAATATGAAATGCACAACTAGCAATAACAACTGAGCGTGCAACAAACTGAAGCTGTGCTGGTGCGTTGGCTCACTCACTGCAGCTCTTAGGGCTGTCATCAGCTGTCCGATCGTAGCCGTCCTGCCACTGGTTGGGTTCAGTCGTCTCCACTGAAACTTCGCCTGCTCGCTTGAATCCATTCATCTTGTGACAGAATCGCCACTGATCTCCCTGCAGCCGGTAGGTAACCATACTCTGTACGCCGACCGTCCGCCGTCGCACCTGCTTGTGGTTGCTGCTCGTCCTCTTGAGGTGGATGGTCGTCTCCTCGTCGATGCTGGGCATCGCTGTCTCCTCGGTCGTCTCATGCTTGTTGTCTGTTGCTTGTTGCTTGATACTGGAGTCGTCTCGATGCTCCAGAAACTCTCGCAATATGTAGTAAATTGCTGGAATTGCCACTGCCATTTCAATCGTGGCAAACGTTAGTGCATCCCCCTCCAGCAAACCACGAACACTTCGCGATCTCATCATGGTAGTACTTGTACTCTGTGTGGTAGGCGAAGTCGGGAGTGTAGTTTGCCGCTGACTTGCAACAACACGCCGCAAAGACCGCCAACTGCAAGAGTGGTACTCTCGCCTTAGTAGCTGATGACGTATCCATCTTACTCTTCTTGATGATGTCCTGTCGCTCCTCATTGGTCTCCTTGGCTGCCGTATATTTAGGGTCGTGCTGTAGCTGAAGTCGTCGAGCCCGAAGTCTGTCTGCGAAGAGTTGTCTTGCCGCTAACTTCGTGAGACCATCCGCGTACTGCCGCTCTGATGAGACGCGCTTCCACTGCGCCTGTGTGTAGAATCCATCCGTTTTCGTAGTGCCAATACCTCGATGCCGGTGCGCTTGTCCTGGAAGTTGGTGATACTCTCCTTCTTTGCTGCGTCGTAGAGTGCTTTCGCATTGATCCCGAGTGCTGACTCTCCTGCGTAGCGCGCCCAGAATCGCTTCGCACATTCTAGTGCGTCCATGCCTGCTGCCGCTGCTTGGGATTATGCGCGTAGTGATGACCTAGCTAGACTCATCCTTTTGAATGATTTCCAATCAACAACACAGAAATTTGAATCCTTGCCGCGAAGTACTTCCGAGTGACATGTCATAATCATATATCTTCCTTGACTAGATCCGTTTTACCGTACTACCCAAGCTGCGTCCATCATCGCTACGAGCACGATGTCGTTGACCTTGCCAATCTTTTTCATCTGGAGACTGGCGTCCGCGTTCTCCTTCTAGAACCTTAGCGTCGCATTTATCCCTCTTGCTGTCGCCACCGTCGCCGTTGGAAGCTCTCCTTGGTGAATGCTGACTGGGGCTGACGTAAATGGGCAAGATTGCGAATTTGGCCGTCGTAGAGCTCCAGGGAGTCCTCGAAATTGGCGTGTCTCCTTTGGAGTGAGCGGTCGGTCGTTGTTGTCGCTCTGATCAATCGCGATCGGTGTGACGTTGGAGGCGCAGGATTGCATTGTGATGTTGATCTCAGTGCCTTTGGAGCGCTTGTTGTCCCAGTGAGCGGTTCTGGCGCAGGTCCGAAAAACGGGGGTTCATTCTGTCCTCCTCGATCCATTTCCGAAAACATGAACTTGCTCTTGTCTGCCTCGGTTATGTAGCTGTAGTTGCTCCCGGGCCTGCGATCTCATCCTCCGAGCATGTCGTCTGCGTAGAGCAGGATGAACCCGTCGCAGTCGCCGTCTTTGTCGTAGCTAACGAAGAGGCATGGGTCCAGGGGGTGCTGCTTGAGCCTGCTGGCCTTGAGGTAGTCAACTGCTTGTTGCCACCAACGTCGTGGCGCGCCCACTTGTCCGTGAATCGGCTTGATCAGCTTCATGAGCGTGTCCGGTTCGATGCCCATGAGGTCTGCGGCATCTCGTGGTACTTTGGCGAAGAGTACTCGTTCTTGCGGCCGTCCCTGCAGGAATGCGGTTGCCACGCCCACAATCCCCATCCGTTGTTAGCTGCCAGTAATATAGCGAACTGACGCCCCAGTCGAGACGCTGTAGGCGATGCCGTCGGTACCTCGCCGTCGAGTGCGTCTGGGTCGTTAAAGCTTTGCAGCGCGAAACGTGCCTTGGCCCTCGGCGTGCCGCGTTCGTTCTTGGTCCATGTCAGTACCCACTTGGCCTTCAGGATGCACTGGGGGCCTTGCTCTCTGGTAGGCCTATGAAACTCCCAAACGTCATTTCCGAGAGACTCCTCAAGCTCCTTCCGCTTGCCATCCATGAGTGTTGCTCGCTCGCGCGGCGTCATGGCCCGGGTACTGATCTCGGCGTGGGTGTCATTGAGCTTCGCTTCGTTGCCGTCGAACTCCCATCCGGATGGTAAGTCCTTGTCATCTAACATGATCTTCATGGCTGCGAGCTCGTCGTCTGCGCTGTCGTCTCCCACTGGTGGAGACTCTGCCGTTGGCACTGATCACGGTGGCCCTCGATATACTCCTCCAGGACGGGTAAAGATGGAAGCGTCTGCTGCGCCCAATCGCCCGCGACACTCCTTTAGATCCAAACTTGCCGTAGCGGATGTTTGAGCCGGTGTTGGTGAACTCGACGACGCTGCTGACGCTGGCCCCAACGTAGCTGGCGCTGGCATTGGTGGTAGCAGCTGAACTGGAGGTGGCGGTGACTGTAACTGCGTGGCTGGTGGAGTCGTTGACTGCACTGGAGGCCCCATAGGCTGAGATTCAGAACAGGAAAAACACAAACACAAAAGGTTTTTTATGGGTTTTACGCCGGAAGGAGGCGTCTTTGAGAGGGTGCCCGGCACGGATGCGGGGATCGGTGCGGCGTCGGTCTTTGGTTTGCGCGGCAAGTGCGTTCAGCTGGTCGCATGTGTTCGGAGCGCTTGACGGGTGGAAAAGCCGCTCACCAGCAACTGGCAGTCGTCTGCCCGTGGGCCAGAACAAATCGTCGCGCGCTCGCAACGGGGCGTGGGGAAGGGGGCTGGGAAGAGAGCGCGGGTCTCATGTCCAAGAAGTCCCTTCGATAGGCAGCAAACACGTCTTTTTCTGTTCATCTGCCGCACGGCCAACCGAACGAACGAACAACTGTCTCGGCGAGCAGCGTTAGCTTCGCTTGCGCGCATCCTGGCTTCGTTCCGTTGCTTCCTTCGCTTCTTTCTCGCCCTCCTCCTCCTTTTCCTCCTCCCCTGCTTTGCCTTGCCCCGCCCCCCCTTCCTTTTCATTTCGGAGCTGTCACCGCGCGCGAAGAGCGCAACCCGAAGGGCTTTGCTGCAATTCTTTTGTGTGCCACGAAGTCTCGTGCAATTCCTTTGTGCACGGTCTGCTTGCGCTGCCAGCGCGAAGGGCACGCAAAGGATTTTCCTCCGCGTGCGATCGTTTTTGTCGCCCCCACAAGAGCACGCGCGATTCCTTTGTGTAGAGCTCGCTTTCCCGCCTCGAGGAGCGCGCGGGGCGTGGCGCTACAATCGCAAGGCCGCGGCGCCTGGCAGCGCGATGCAACTGCGCCGGATACCGCGCCCAAAACGACCCTGCGTGGATTTGGGTTCTTCTGCCGAAATCGCGCTGGCAGATGGCCAGCCACATCGCCGGCCCTGCATGCCCGCGCGCGCCAGTGCGTTCTGCTGCCACGACGCGTACTGCTGTCAACGGATGCACAAACTGACGTTGCACGGTGGTTTGGCTGTGCCAAGCCACCATGGAACGTTTGTTGGTAGCGGATCTTGTTGGTGGTGCCAAAACTTTTGCGTGAAATTCCTTTGTGTTTTTTTTTCTGGCTCGTAGAGTTGGGGGTGTCGGCGGTATTGGTTCTTGATTTTTGTCCTTCGACTGGCTGTCTTTCTTGTTGAGGTGTGCCGGGAACGCCCATCTGCTCGTCCTCTGTAGTGCTGGGCGCGCCTGGACTGGGCAGGCGTCGTGGTGCCATATCCGTCGTTGCCGAAGCTGCTGCTCCACTAGACGGTGTTCCCCTCTGTCGCTTTGGTGGTGGTTCGTCTCCTGGTCCATCCTCGTCGCTGATGTCCATGTCCGAGTCGCCCGGCGCGTCGAGCGGTTGCTGCTGTGAGCTGACATCGTGGAACGGCGTGGCTCCTGTCTTCTTCATGTTGCCGAGCCCTTCGTGGCCTGCGCGAGGTTCTCCAGGAGAAAACATCTGTGATCGGTAACAACTGGTCGAACGTGTTCCGGGGCACAGCGTCGTAGGTTCGCCTCGTGCACGATCCATTAGATTTTCGGTCCGTTCTCGTCCTGCCTCATCTCCATGAAAACTACGATTGTGGCTCTCTTCAATTGTTGGATGAGTTTGTCGGTCATACCCTCTCTCCAGTACGCCGCTGGCCGTTCGCAAGATCGCTCTCGAGGGCAACGCGACGCCGTGGAAGTGCGCGTCGTAGTTTGACCGAGGCGTCCGCCTTCATAAACGTTGATGCCGCCATTGTGACCTTCGCTCAAGGACATTCTTGAAGTCCTCATCCTCCTTCATCTGGCACAGGGTCGCTGGTGGGAACTTGTCGCTGGAATTGGTCATGGTAGTAGTCGGGTCCATTCCAGAACCCACTGGCATGGTGAATCGCCTTTTGTGAAAGCCAACCGATTGACATGGTGATGTACATAAATTCAAGCCTCCGAAATCAAATCCTCCGCGATAGCCGCCATGGCGCCACGGTCGATAACATCTGCACAATAAAGCCCTTTCGCCTTTCGAGCAATTTCATGCCGACGTTCCACCACTCCCAAATTGGAATGCGCCTCGCCTGCTGTAATACCGATCGAATTCCATGCTGTACGAAAAACTGTGTAAATCGATCTGAAGCAAAACCTGAACCATCGTGTGCCCGCAATTCTCCCATTGGTCCAAATTGCCCGATCCAGCCGCGTTCAACTGCCTTGATCAGCTCCTCTGCCGTCTCGGTCTTGAAGGTACGTGGTGCACAGTAGCGTGTGCCCCCGTCTGTAATCGAAAGAACTGCCGTCTTGCCAGTACTATTCTTGACCCACAAGACGTCTTATAGACGATATCGTTGAACTTTGTGGCCTGCTTCGCTGACGCATTGGGTGCTTTTGGTGGACGTTGTCTGGCCATGCAGTTTTCACACCGATACTCCGATGCACACTGTAGGATGCTGTCTTGAGCGCCTGCCTGCTGAAGTAGACGATGTAGTACTGCTGGGCTGGGGCGTCCCATGTTCCGGTGATGTCCTTTGACGCAGCGTAGTGCCACCGTGCCGTGCTGCTCTCGTAGGCGCGCGTGCTGGTGAGCTTCCCGACTGGGCTCCGAGTGCTCGGGTTTGGTCCCTTCTTCCGATTGCGTTGAGTCCTCTGCTGCGTAGATGTCTTCGATCTCCGGCTCGACCATGACTTGCGCCATCGTCGTTGCTACGATGAACGGGTGGTCCTCGGCGGGTTTGGTGATCTTTCGTCCCTCCAGCAGGTCGTGTCCATGTGATATTTCGCATCGCTCGTTGAGTACAGCTGCCATGAGCTTCTTTGTCGTCTTCAGCGTCGTCGGCTTCTTGACCATGTTCGTGCTGCCCTCGATCGCATGGCCGTGCATGCATTTGTCGAACGTGCTGAGTTCGCCGTGTAGGCGGCTGAACGCCACGGTATGCCACGCCCTCGATGTAGCTGGATGTTCGATGTGAGCACGTCGCCCTCCTTGCTGCTATATGCGATGCACCTTGGCCACAAACTGTAGATGTACTCAATGATGCCATTCTCGTAGCTTGGTGAGGTACTCCTTCCAACCGGAGTGCAGGTGGATGTTGAGCTCCTGAATGTTGGACCAGGGTCCGCACATTGGTGACAGATGAACCTCGTCAGGCTGCTCCTCCGTCAGCTCCTTGAGGAATGCCTTCTGATGGTTCTCCTTTGCGAAATCCCAACCGGCATTGAGCCCAAGCGTCTCCGTGCGTGCTCCTAGATCTCGAAGTGCTGGTGACAGTCTGGCTTCTCCAGAGTCGACTTCCCGTATCGTCCGTCTCGTAGTACATCGTTGGTGAGCTACTCTCCGCATGGCATGTAAGTGCTGCTCGCTGGCATGCTTCGCGGCTGAGCCGATCTTCTGAACGAAGTTGGTCGACATCTGTTTGAAACCGTCGGGGTCGTCGTCGGTGCTGAAATTCACTTCGTCCGCCGCAGCTGACAGTGGGCGCCAGCATGGCTCCGATAGCGTGGTGTTGACTGGCGCAATGGTTGTCGTAGTGAAACGCAGGTTGTCACATGAGGAATGCTGCTGACACTGCCACTGATTCGCGCATGCCTTGCAGCGACTAACTTGTACTACGCGTCGGGAACAGCCTTCTGTATGAGGTCGCCGTTGTGGTTGCTCCTGCTGTTCGCCGTTCTCGCTGGAGTCCGCCAGGCAGGCGTTGTCCAGAAGCTCGGTGCCGCTCATGGCATCGTTGCTGGGGTCCAGGAACTGCGCTGCATCGACGGGCTCGTGCTCGAAGTCGTTCGTGCGGTGACTCGTCTTCCCGTCCAGCTCCTCGAGTAGGTCCACCCTGTAGTGTCCTTGAGGTCATAGCGTTGCAGACTCGAACTCGCCGTCGTTCCACGCAATTGTCTGCTTGGCGTAGTCGACCTGAACTCCGAACACTTCCAGCAACGGCCTCGGCAAGAGGATGGGTGCACGTCCCGGTACCACGTAAATGTAGAGTGCCTGACTTCTGAAGCTGGCAGGCATTGTGCCACGCCACTGCGCATATTCGATCTTGCCGTTGCCGAACTGAAGCGGCCGGCGGCACTTGTAGAACCTGAGGTCTTCGATGGGATAGCCTTTCTGCCTGTAGTTCCTCACGTAGTCCTTGATCGTCTCTGAGCCGGATATGAGGATCGTCGCTCCGCAGTCCATGACTCCGTTGCTTGCTGGTATTGCGCTGGTGTTGGCCTTGCTATGGCACTTGTCGTCCCAGTAGACCTCATCGACCATCGAGGTGTCGTCGGTGTGGACACGCTTCTTGTTGGGTGGCTCGATGCAGCCCCTAGCCCAGAGGCCGGGTCTGCCGCGTCGTGGGCAGTTGGCCGATGGTGTTGATGTTGGCGCTGGCTTCGGAGCTGCCCTTGCCCTTACCATTGGGTCCGATGCCGTAGGTCGCGGTCTGCTGTATGCGCCTGGAGTGGATGATCCTTTTGGGCTGCCTTTGCTTCCTCTTGACTTGCCGCTTCCCTTGGTGCCTTTGCTGCTTGACCGGCTTCGTCCGCGTGAAC